TTAAATTTATTATTGTATACAGTTATTATTGAATGATGTTTATTTTTTTTTTTTTGTTAGATTTCGAGCGTAGCGATGGAGCTATTGGTTTTACTAAGATGTTTATTTTTTTTTCTTTGTTCTAGTCTATGGACCCGTTTTTTCCTAGTAAATTTGATTTGATGTAGAAGTGTAGCACCTTTTCTAAAAACTCAAATTATCTAGATTGTACTTTAAGAACGTCATTTTTTAAATAAAAGTACATAAGTGGGAAGAAACGTAGGAAAACGTACAATTTTATTATTTTATAAAAACACGGACGACGTTCTCTACCAGAAAAAATTATGCTTTTTTTTGTTTACTTTCTTACGGTATAATTACCAAAACTTTTGAGCCACTTTTGAGCTTTTAAGGAATTTTTGAGAGTTTTTGCTGTAATTCGGTTATAAATACACGTAGAGAATTGAAACTTGGTAATAATACTTATATTGGACTTACCTAGGACGTGGTAAAATTTCAAAAATCATCGGATGACTTTTTTTTTTTAAATAAGCGTTTTGAAATTAAAATTAAACAAAAATCATCAAAAAAATTACGGCACTTCAAATTATGTATTACCGAACTACACTCGGAATCGTCTTTCGTCAAGCAATGGTTTATCATTGCTTACAGATATAAATGAAATAACCTTATGTATCCTACCTTCCAAACTTTTCACTTACAATAGTTTCCGCTCCCGTCCCCAGTACTAGCTCTTTTTTTTTTTAAAAAATTCGTTTTTATTTTTCTTTTGTCTATCGAAAAATGTCATTGATTTTTTTTTTTTTTTGTTTAAGTGGTGCGGTAAAAGTGAGTTTATATAGTATGAAAATTACTTCAAATACCATAAATAATAAATGGTTTATAGTTTACATAGAGAATGGTTGAAGTGGTTTGTGGGCATATTATAATAATGGATAATATACTCGTATATACCACATTATATTCGAATTTCAACGCGATGTCACTCGACACCTAAAATGAAGAGTCCCGGCTCTCGAGTTGTGATATTTCTTAGTGCAGACAAAAATGTAGTATAATGTAGGTATCGACAAAAAAAAAAAAAAGAGTGGTTCCTGTTTATAGGATAAATCTGAACGTACGTTTGGCCTGCTCCCCATCCCCCCCATTGTAAAATCTAAAAACAAATTATGCAAATATTTCACACGAAATTGCACGTCTACTTTTGGAGTTCGCACGACACTCCTTCCCTCGGAAAATCCAAAACCTTAGTTAAAATTTACATTTTTTAATTTTTTTTTTTACCGATATTTATTTTATTGTTACTTTACGGTATATTAGTTGTGATTTCGTTAAAACAAATAAAGTACCTACTTTATGCATTTGTTTAGAAAAATAGTAGAGTAGGTAAACTATTCGTTATTCAAGAGAGGTGACGGCCAAGCCTGAAAGGTAATTAAAAATTGTACATCAGTCCGTTTATTATACCATATCAAAATGTTAAATTGATACAATCAAAAAGCCATTATTTTGACATTATTTATATTATATCGAATGTCATGATGAATATTTATTATTAAATTATTCCGATGAGTTGCCGTTTCGGAATCTGAACCTCGTTAATATATTACGCTATTAAGGTAAAATCGTTGCTAACGAAATACGATTCTGAACGAAGTTCGTTTGAACATATTTTGAAAAGTCGTGATTTTTACGATTATCATCAAAATTTGAACTTAAAACGCACATAAAAAAACTACTACATTACGCTCTACTTTTACTTTACCACCAAGTATATTTCATGACGAACTTGGTGTTCGATAATTTTTGCTGGACCGAAATAATTTTATTCGCATAAAATTAAACACAAAACAAAGAAAAATTCGAAAATTTTAAATCACTAACAACTCATATTTGCCATAATGTATCGAAAACTGCACTTTATGTCTAGAAAAGACTTATATTAATAGTCTGTGAAAATTTCAGGTCAATATGTTTATTTTAACTGAATCATAAAACAAAAAACAAAATCAAAAATAATGAAAACTTCACCGACAAAGCTGCCACCAACCCGGTATTCCTACGTTTATCCCTCAATTATTAAGAAAAATACAAGGAAAGTAAAAAAAATAACGTTTCCAAAGCACCGATTATAAACACTAAAATGATTGCTTTTAGAACAGTAGTTACGCATGAAAGTCAGAGTAATATTTCTAGTAGAAAATTTGTTTACAGAGAAAAAAAAAACACTCCATTTTTTATTTGA